AACTTCATCATCTTTATCGTCATTAAATATAGCGAAAGACTGCCATCTAGTGACTGTGATTGGATTTACAGTCTCTGACCCATTCAACTGTACCAACTCTGTTTGGCCAACAGGGGGCTCTGCTGTCATACTTTTCTCATTGACATAATCTTTTCCCTCTGTTTCGGGTGAATAAAATATTGTTTGCAAAACAAAAGCTTGAGTAAGTGTTGTTTGTTATATGAGCTGGATTAAACATGTTTTATAGCAAAGTGGGGGTCAGGAACTCCTGGGGAGGTGGCAAGGCATCAATGAGGGGCTCACAAGATGGGGGGTTTAAGCATTGTGATTTAATCTCTAAGGTACATGGAGGTCCAATATATATTAGAACATACAAAAATGTGAACTTTCCCTGAAATAAATAGATTAAAACTTTATTAATTTATCTAATACATTATTCAAATGTTAAACCTACTTTTAAACTGTAAAATGCATCATTAAGTAATTAAATGTAATAAAAAATAGTATTATATGCAGTTTATAAAATATATAATTACTTAACTTTATTAATGCATATAGAGTAAACCAATTCTATGAATTTATAGGTGGATATTTTAGAGGAAAATATTTCCATTGTTCTTACATGTGGCGTAATGAAAGTTGTCTGCTAAAATTAGCAGAAACTTTACGATGTAATAACCTCAAATTTATGCACTGCTAGAAATCAAGGGTTGGATTTTATCATAGGTTAATCTAATCAAGAGGGAATGTTCAGATCTTTTTTTCTTGTTTTACAAATGAGACACAATGTTTTCATCTGTTACAAACAAATTATCAAAATCTTTATGTAAAATAGAAAATTATTAACATTTTTGCATGAATTATGCCGAAAAATTAGATCTGCTGCACATGCCTGGAGGGAAGAAAAGGAGTTAATTTCCTAACAAACTGACAGATGTCCAGATCCCCTTCAATCCACTAAAAGGACAGAACCAAAGACAAGTAGGTATTTTATACTTTGATGATGATCGTCGCTGAAATTAGGTTTGATGAGGCATAACAGAGTTGGCAAATTTCATTTTGTCTCCAACTTGCACATACAAAGAAAAGTATTCAAACTTCTTCTGACATAGAAAACGGATTTAACACATGTTTAATATAGGGTAGGACTACTCCATGTTACTGATTGAGTGAACTTTATCAGTAAGACACACCTGCACAACAAAATCCCTTTTGAGCCAGTGGTGGAGCAAAGCTCATACCTATGTTTCAGCAGTTTTGAATTCCCCCATGAGCTTTCTAATTATGCTGAAGGGGAGGATGACTGATACAATCACCCATGTTGATGTTACCGTTCATACTGACAATGTTCCACAGTATGCAGCATTCCTTTAAAAACATCCCAAAAAATGAACATAATATGAAAACTGTTTTTTAAATACATCTTTTAGGACTCAAGAGATGAAAGAAAAAAATCACTGCTAAAATCAAAGGATGGTGGTAGTAACCTTATGGTGTTCAGATGATGGTAATGTGAGAACAGAATGATTAGAACTGACCTAAACCCCTAACACAAATTAAAAATGTATATAAACCTACAGCTGAGGATAAATAGGAACCATTTCTGGAAAAATAATAAAGATCAGTATAAGAGACAGAAGTTTGAATCAGAAAAAGCAAGTAATTTAGCACGAGTGCCCTAGTCTTATGTGTTCTCAGAGCTGGCTAAAGGCAGAGGTGGGTTAGACATCCATATGTAGTGGGGTGAGGTGGCGGCCTGAATTCGGGCGTTTACTTGGGATATCACGCCTCTGTTGAGTGCTTGTACAGTACCGTATATGTCCCTATGGATGGGGTGGGCTGTGTGAATGTGATTGGAAGAATGTGAATTTGTTTTTGTCTACTTGTCAGGTTGAGTGTTACCCTCCCACCTACTGAACATCCTAGGCCCCTAGTATGAGCAGGACCTTTCCCCTTCTTATGCCCCCCACAGATGAGGGGTGTCTGTGTCTGCCGGGCCAGGCCTAGGCCTCCTGGACCTGTGGGGTCGCCACGAGGTGGTGGTGCACTCCCGGGCCCTCTGACCCCTGGATGCTTATACGGGTTCACGTTGGGTGTGACTAGCCACAGGCAGAACCCATGGGCTCGTTGTCAAACCCTGTGGCATCTAGGCACTATGGCCTCTGGGTACATGCCCCTCAGGAACTGGACCCCTTGGGGGTTGGGCTCCAAGTGCTCTCATCTTCCCTTCTCTGGTGGGTATGGCTGTCCCTACGCCTGACTCGCTTGTGTCCCAGTAACCTGGGGTGCCCCTGAATATCTGGGGCTCATATGGCCTCTTTCTCTGTTCTGGTCCCTGTAGAGCGAGTCTGGGGTCGCCTACACCGGCTATTAAGCATACTTTCCTTCCCGAAGAAGCATTGTAACACCCTTTACACACGAGCATGCCAATGCATACATGCCACAGGAGTGTAGTTCCAGGTGTTCATGGATACACACTAATACTAAATACTAAGCTGCAGCTACAGATATATACCACCCTGAATAACATTTTGTAATTACCATAAGTTTTTCCTTCCACATACATGGATATCTTTTTTAATGTTTAGTTTGGTTGTTCTGTTCTGTTACGCTCTCGGTTTTCTGTTCCTCTCATCTCATATAGGTATGGAAGTAGACTTCAAGGAGTTACTGTATATCTTCTGTGTTCCTATTTCCTATTTTTGCTGTTTTGTTTTATTTTCATGGTCTCTTTCCTGTCTCTATCTCTTTCTCTCTCTACTTAGTTATTATCTCCTTTCTTTCCGTTTCGTCTTTGTGTCCATTGTATATGATTTTACTCCCTTAATCATTTTTAATAAAGTTTCATATACAAATACCAAGCAAAACCTTACGGCAACAGCCATAATATTCTGCTTGTGAAAGCAAATATGTTGGGCTATGATTGAGCTCTGAGAAATCTATTCCCAGAGCTCTATTTGTAGAAGAGGACACCAAAAAAATAAAAATTAAAATAAAATAAATCCACAGTTTAAATCTTGAAAAAAAATAATCATGAAACGGATAAAGTTGTGACTAATGTAAACTGCTAGGCAAACGGAAATATTTGTGTAAATCAGCTGTTGAATGTTAGTTCCTTTTGAACTTGTTCTGCACATACTAGCTTTGCAGCCTGGCAAAGCTATTCAAATCCCACTTGAAGAGGTTTGAATATGAGACTTTTTATAGAAAAACATTTACATATTTAATTCCTTCCTGAAAATGTCACATGTTTGCTGGAAAACATGAAGACCAAAAAACACATATAGAAAGTATGGAGATAGTTATAGAGAAGTTAAAAGTGGATTTAGATGGACATACTGTAAGGTAGAATTCCACTAGGAAGTATGGTGGTGGCCGCATCATTCTGTGGGGGATGCCTTTCTTCAACAGGGACAGCTGACTGGAGTATGGATAGCGGTAAATGCACACCTATCTTGCAATAAAAAATGACTATTCTAACCTTGAAAAATATGAGGCTGGGTTCACGATTTAACTTTCATCAGGAAAAAGACTCCAAAAAGTGTTCGGGTCAAAGCACATTTTTACACAAAGAGACATTTTAGCACAACGTCCCAAAAATCTGATAGAAAAGCCCAGCCTGATTTCAATTAGGAAACTGTGGAAAAAGCTGAAAACTAATTTCCTTAAACACATTACTTTGTTTTACACTGACATAAACTCTTCCTTGCATTTTTAAAAGGAAATTTGGGCCAAAGGATTAGTCTATACGTGTGTTTTCCATTATACTTTTGTTACATATCTTCTATTTGTATCTATCTAATATCAAAATTTCTAGATAATGCTTATTTGTAAGTCACCTTAGATGAGCAGTGTTGTGCATCTTGTGCCCTAATAAAAAAAATATATATATTATTTGCAGTCTACTCTTTTCCTCTGAGTCATATCCAATTGACTTGAGCAGTGGTTTCACACTGCATCATTTTATGGTGACTTACTGACCAATCAGAGCAGCCTGGAGTTTTAATATTTACAATTATTCAGACAGTACTGGTGACAGCAGAATACAGGCCTGTATACCGTCTCTTTTTTTCTCCTTATACAGCTTTCATTTTGAAGACTTGGTAGGTTTGTATTTTCTTCGTTTGCAGATTATGGATGAATTAGTCCTCCACCAGATTTCTCTAGCTTAGGATATATTTGTATAACCTTCAGTTTTAACCCACCACTCCTCTTTTCCTGACCTGCATGCTGTTTTCTTTGGACTTCAAGATCCTATTTGTTCACTCAGGTTCTCAGACCAAACCTTCAAAGACGAGCTTCATTTATAACTAACAATATAGATGCCTTATGAAGATAACTGGATTTTATCGGGGTGTTGCAGTAAATAGGATCAGTGTCAGGAACTACAGCTTAGATTTGTATTGGTGTTTTTTTATTTTAATTTATTTTTTTTATTTTATTTTACAAAAATGTGCAGCTTTCTTTTAATAATTAAAAAAGACTCATTGAAATTTGTGACACTGACCTGAAAAATGTGAGAAAGTGGAAATGGAATACCTCTGCAAGTCTATAACGCTATTAATAGGTACATATTTAATCTAGCCGAAATTTTTGATTATCTAATTTAGTGAGGGAGACTGAGTAACTTACAGGATAATATGTTTAATTTCTCTCCTGACCCTCCCTTGTTTAAATTCAGCTTATATTTATAGCACAAAAATATGTCATATATCATCCTACTTTTCCAACAGATCCAGAATATAATGCAGTTTTTTTTTTTTTTTTGTTTCTTCAAATTTAAGAAAATAAAAAGGTTATCTAACTATCAGTACTGTTATATTCCTTTGCATTACTCCATTTCATGAGCTCTGTCTTTGGGCTTTTCTCATGTATTTCACTATGGAAACATGTGGGTTTGAGTCAGCAGCCATCCTACCCTTAGTTTGTATTACATTGTGATGACTCCTGACAGGATTGTAAAGGCTGGGGTGGGTGGATCGCGCATGCGCAATGCGCCTCATCCAATGATCAGTGCGGCAGGAAAAGCGCAGAAGGGGGAAAAAAGGAGATGAAAACAGTTAGGAAAAGGGAAAAAAAGAGGAACAGCGGTTCAACTTACTCCTTTATTTTATTACCTTAGTGGAAAATGTTTATCTTTGCTCTTGTGCCGCAAGTGGGCTATTTTCGTTATGCCGTAAGAGCTGAAGATTTAAAAAAAAAGAAGGATCTTTTTCTTTTTTCAGGAATCCTGCCTCCAAACTGCTGTCACGATTGAAGGAGGTAAAGCTGAGCAGGGGGCTCATCTGATCAAGGAGGGATTCAATCAAGATTAGAACAGACAGGTTTTAAGTTTTTTTTATTATTATTATTCTTTTCCAATCAGCATTAAGGTTGCTTTTCCCCCCCTACTGCATCGGATTCCTCTGGACAGGATGTCATTTGCATTCAGGAGGAGCTCCTCCGGCTGACTGAGGGACACAGACGCACAGACGGACGATGGGAGATGCGCCAGAGGACAGAGGGATGAGACGCACATTTATCGTTCCTGCCATCAAGAGCTTCGATCACTACGACTTCACCAGGGCCAAGATCTCCTGCAGCCTGACGTGGCTGGTGGCCAAGGCTTTCGGCTCGGGTAGGTGGCGCCTTTCGGAGCCTTTAATGCAGAGAAGACGGTTTAAGACTAATCAACCAACATGTGTGATAATGCGGCGTGCTGCTGAGACTGTTTGGTAAACATCATCATGTTATTAGGATCTCTATGTGACAGAAACACGTTGGAAGCAAACATTCTGCCCAACAACAAGCTGCTTTTTGGAATAAACTGAAGACAAGTTTATTATTTATAAAGTTAGTGATTTAAAGACCTAATCTAGGTTATATTTCTCCTAACAGCTGTCTGATCTTCCAATAATAATCATAGTTAATACTGGAAAGATCATTGATAAATTGGCTCTGGAACTTCTGTGGGTATCACATGCCTTGCAGGGGCGGAGCTAGATGGGGGGCCAGAGGGGGCCATGGCCACCCTTACCCAATCATTGGCCACCCCTACCATTTTTATCCCCATAAAACTGACAGTGGCAGCAGAATTACTCACAAGTGATCAGTGGTGTCAAAAGTACACACTTTAGTTACTTAAGTAGAAGTATAGATACTGCTGTTTAAAAGATGTATAGAATTTACCTTTTTACTCAAGTAAAAGTGAAAAAGTATGTACTCCAAAAACTACTTAAAGTATAAAAGTATAAAAAAAAAAAACAGGCAGATGCCACTATATGAATTGAAAGATAAATTTTTAGACTATTTGAAAAAATTCTTTGAGATAGGGCCAAGGATGAGGGAGGTCTTGTTGGTCTCCGTCTCCTGATACGCTCTCGCCTGTGTCCGACATTTCAGACATTTACACATCTTTTTCTGAATTCGACATTGTAGCATGGCATAGACAATTTGTGTTTGCAGTTTGAAGAACACCTGCTTGCTTCTGATGATTTCTTTTAGCTAACCAGTGAGGGTTTGCTTTATATGACTCATCCAATTACACTAGTTTTCACTAGATGTGGATGGAGCCAATGATCTGCATTGGATGGCACACATGACGTGAATTAAATATTTAGAAACATTAAACCGAAGCCAAGAGTGAAGAGTAATGTTTGTTTAAAAAGTACAGATACTTGTGTGAAAATGCAATGTGTAGAAGTCCGAAGTAGGAAGAAAAATAAGTAATGGGGTGAACTATAGATATATAAAAAGTCTACTTAAGGTCAGTAACAAAGTATTTGTACTTCGTTACTTGACACCTCTGCAAGTGATACTACAGTAATACTCTCAATATTCAAAACGTTTTAATTTTTCATAGATTAACAATTACTTGACCACAAAACACTGTGGTTAGTTAGACACATCAATATACAAACATTAAAGATGATAAAGTACATAATTCATACTCTTTTCAGAACTAGAGGTTTTGTTACATGTGGTAAAGAGAAAATGCAAGTCAGTCTTCAGTTAAATCATAGATAAAAAACTCTTCTATTAAAAACTTAGTAAATACATTTTTTTGTAGATATTAGTACTTGTAAATATCAATTTTATGCAGAATGATTATTAATAAAAGTAGGTAAGCAATGGCAATGAAAGGATGTTTGTCCCAGAACTCAAACCTGAAAGAACGTTATCCACTTTACTTTTTATCTAGATAGATGTTTAAATATATGTGTCTATTTGTTAGGAAAGGCTGTACGAATGTATAATCTGTCTTTATTTGGAAAATATGGATGTTGTGGTTGTTTATTGTCCTGTTGGATCAGTATAGATTGACCCTAAGGTTCTGGTGCTGATCCGCTTTCGGCCACCCTTCAGTGTACATTGGTTATTGCCTGGCCACCCTTATAAAAATGTTCTGGCTATGCCTCTGATGCCTTGACTTTGACTAGGCCACTGTGACATACTGTAGCTCTGGTTGAAGGTTTGAGTCTTAAGCAGCAACAAGCATGCTTTTGGATTCTGAAAAAAGTAAAGAAAAAAAAACAAACCATCAGACTTTGTTTTCCAAGTCTGAAAACATTTCGCTTCCCATCCAGGAAGCTTTTCAAATTCAAAATGTCTGGTTTAGTGTTGAGTTCCAAGCTTTATAGAGTAGCCCAAACAAAGCCTTGTTTTGGCTTAGAAAACTGCAAAACCGATACTGGCCCATGCGTCTGTAAAGGGGAGTCGTTTGGGGGATTGTTAGTGCCTGTCTGACCAGGTTAGAGGTATTGGTCCCCCTGCATGGCCATAAGGATTATGATAGTGGGAAGGAATCAACTCTATTGCTGTGTTATAAGTTTTTGAGAGCTGAAACCTGAGTCTACCCCCTCTGTTTATGGTCTGTTTTTCTCTCTTAACATAAATGGCTTCCTTCACACCCCTTTAAAACCACCTGTCATCTTTGTCCAAAATGTGAACATTCTGGTCCTCAAACAAATGTCATTTGTCCTTAAGGAGTAGGTGGACAGCAGAGTCTTGTCTGGAAGAGGTAGATCTCCTGTGTTGGGCCATGCGTCTGTGGAGAGCTTGTTTGGTTTCTCCAATGTAAAGATCAGAGCATTCCTCACTGCATTGAACTGCATACACCACTTCACTCATCTTAGGTTTGGGAGTTTAGTCTTTAGGATGCACTAGAGTCTGTTTAAGGGTCTTTTTTGGTTTGAAATGTACTGGGATCTTGTGTTTGGAGAAAATCCTCTTGAATTTTTCAGAGACTCCAGCAACATATGGGATGGTGATGTTTTTGCGTTTAATCTTCTTACTGTTATGGTCTGCTGCAAGTCTTTTAGATTTCCTTGCTGATTTGAAAAAACATCCAGTTTCAGGTATCCACAGATTTAAAGAGCATCTTTGATGTGTTTCTGTTCTTTGTGCTTCACCTCTGTTTTAATAGGGACATGCTCGGCCCGGTGTTGTAAGGTTCTAATGACTGAAAGTTTCTGTTCTAGTGGTGTAAGTCAAAAAGAAGATATTGGTCTGTGTGAGTGCATTTCCTACACACTTCAGTGTCGAGGTTCCTCCTCTCCTTTCCTCTCCTTCCATGCTCACCAAACAATCCAAAAAAGGTTGCTTGTTGTCAATGGCATCCTTTCTGTTGATGTTGTGGTCCACCAAGTTGATGTGTCTTGTAAAAGCTTCCTCTTCGTTTAGCTGGATTTTGACGATTGTGTTTTCCACATAACTAAACCAGTGGCTTAGTGGTGTTTCTCTAAAGGTGCCCAAGCTTTGCTTTTTGATTGTTTTTTTCCTTCTAGCCCAGCATCAAGCTCCTACCATGAGTGCTTGCCTGATTTTAATGCATAGAATTTAGAATTTTGCCCCAATAGCAATATGGAAAATTACAAATTTTGCTTTTCATAACTTTTTTTCAATGTGAACTGTTGTCTTGCAGCCCTTCCTGAGCGATTTTATTAAGTTGAGGTCTGATGTCCTGTCAACAGATTCTTCCACTAGAGCTGTCAGTTTCAGCAGCTCCTGCAGGATACAACAACCCTCTCTGCTGCCTCTCTGGCTGTACACCCCTTACCTAGTCTGTCAGTTTAGGTGGACATCCAACATTATTGTGCGGCATTGCTACCTGACTCATATATTGTTTGGAGGAAGGAATGAATGCTGCTATGGGAGATGTTTAAAACTTATGATATTCCCCATCAAACCTCTCCACAACTTTTTTCCGAACATATCTATTTTTTAGGGGGTGGGGGGGTTGCCATCATGATTCTGTTTGTCCACTAACGGCTCTAATTAATCGAATTAATTGATCTCCAAGAAAAGAAACAGAATGGTTCACTTATAATGAAATAAAAACACTCTTATGGACACTCTTACATAAACGAGACAGGCCTCAGAAAATTAACACATTATGGCAAAGATTTTCAGCAATATAAAGGAGAATATACAACATACAAAATTTGAATCAAACATGTGAAAAAACATGTGGTAGAACACAACATCAGTGCTAAACCTATTGGTGTTTCTTTGAGTTTAGCATGCAAAATCTCAGAAGTAATGATTCATACACTTCAACTTGGATGTATTATTGGCTAGAGTTGCTGCTAACGAATGTACTGACAAATAATATTGATGAAGCATGGGATGTAAGATGAAAACAATCTTGATCTAAGGATCAAATACAAAAAGAACAGAAAGATGCTGCCTGAGAACAATCTTTGGGTCAGATCACATAGAGCCAAGCGTGTATTGTGGCTGCAAGCATTTTGCTGCTGCCCTGTTTTTTTTGTCTTGGCCCTCCAATGACACAGTTTCAGCTCCTAGTACCACCGAGAACTGTGGCCCAATTCATGAGCAGTCCTCAGAGTCCTGTTTGGCCCAGATAGACCCGGCGAGCTGCGGGTAAAATCTGTCCCTGGCTGGAAGCAACAGTTTTCCTACAACCTCAGAAAATCAGAGAGGTAGATTTTTCACATGCATCTGGTTTTCTGGAGTTATAACAATCCCATCTTGATCCTGGAGGTTAAAAATTTAGGGCTGCTCAATGGCGCAGTGGGTAGCACCTGCTGCCTTGCAGCAAGAAGGTTTCAGGTTTGATTCTGAGGTCTTTCTGCATGGAGTTTGCATGTTCTCCCTGTGCATGTGTGGGTTCTCTCCAGGTACTCCAGCTTCCTCCCACAGTCCAAAAACATGACTGTTAGGTTATTTGGATTCCCTAAATTCTTCTTAGGTATGAGTGTGTGTGTGAATGGTTGTTTGTCTCTGTGTTGCCTTGTGATAGACCTGTCCAGGGTGGACCCCGCCTCTCACCTGTAGACAGCTGGAGATCGGTACCAGCACCACTCGCGACCCCAGCTGGGATTAGGCATGACAGAAATTGGATAGATGGCTGCAAATTTATTTATCATGATAATTTATGTCAGTTGTTGTAAAACAATAAATAAAAGAAGTAGATCCAAAACTTGAACTGTGAAATCCTTGAAGGTTAACAAAAAATTTCTGAGTTTGTCTTTTATAAAAGTATTTCTACTACATTTATCATTTAAATGTAACTTGAATGTGAATTTAAGCGTTGCATAGTATTCCCTGCAAATATAATCTGTTTCTTGTAATTTAAATGTGAGCCTGTTGCTGCTGTCAGCCTGTTGTCTGGCT